TAGACTTCACGTAATGCGTGCACTCTGTAGGTGTTTTGAATGTTTGTTTGTTTTTGCGTCTTGAGAATATTGAGTAAAATAGCTCACTTGTCATGGTGTTATTTAACTATATCATGTTATGAATAAACTAAACATTGTGAATTTTTACCTCAGTGTGTTTCTTCTGAGTTTATGTGTGCTGTCACGCTCATTTGTTCTGAAGTCTCGAGACAAACAGAGTGAGCCTCAGCGCGAGCTTGTATTCTGTATTCTGCTAACTTACTGCAATTCTCTCTGATGACGCAGTAACTTACCGCGGGGAAGAAAAAATATTCGGTCTGTCCAATGATTGTAAAGTCATTAAAGTCATTAGGTCCGTCAGACTGAAGATATTTTAGCGTAATGTGACCAAAAATATTTAAGACCCATCGAATCCGAATTTAAGACATTTTAAGACTTTTAAAGGCCTTATATTTGGAAAACATTATTTAAGACATTTTAAGACTTTTAAAGGACCGGCGGACACCCTGAGGCTACACCTAGGATGCTTCCAGGGTGAGTAAAACACAGGCTAATTTTCATTTTTGGTTGAACTAACCCTTTAAATCTAAAACCACTAAGACAAAAATAGTTAAACATAAATAAAGATGTCTCAAAGTTCATATTTTAATTTTGATTTGACATCATATGACTATGAGATCATATATAAAACCCTAACCAGTCCATATCACTAATAAATGTTTTAAGGAGTAATGCTGTTTGTTATAGTAATTACAGTTAATATGAGATCATTTTATTACAGTCTTGCAAATATCATTTGACATATTGAAGACGCCAGCAAAGATTAGAAATTATTTAGCTTCATCTTTCCCGTTACATATTCATGCCCAGTGTGATATAATTTATTGCAGCATTGTCATGGCCTGATAAAATCATTTTAATAGACCACAGGTCTATATAAATAAAAAAATTAAAATAAAATTTACCACAATCGTTTAAAGGAAGTCAACCTTGTGCAGTCATGGAAAAGGGAATTCTGGATTAAATTTCATCAGAGCCATTCTGAAATTTTACATAACAAACGTAAAAGACTTTTAGATTTAAGTATTTTTCTCAGTTAAGCTCAGGATGATTTAAACAAAATGACTGCATGACAGTCATGCTGATGACATCATCAGCAATGATGCAATTTTAATTCCAGGGAAATTCCACTAATATCTGCACAAGTTCCCTTTTAAGGTCCATTTTGTACCTTTTTTCCTGTTTAAATGCAAAAGGCGGGCGGGGTGATCTCATTTTATGTTGAAGCCTGATTAATGATTAATAAAAAAAGATATTGCTCTGCAAAGTTGAAAAAAATAGTTCAATAATGAAAAATAAAAAATAACCAATTTATTGTTTTGTTTTTTGAAGTTGCATTCGAAATCTGAGGACACATGTGCAATTCTAATGGGCATGACACTGTTTATTTAGCCCATAACATTACTTTATTTATCCAAGTAAAAAAGGGAGAGCATTATACGTTTTATCAGCCAAAGAATGACATGAATGTATTTTCAAAAACAGGTTCTTCTGCATTACATTACTGTGGTAACAGCAACATAGGTGTGTTTTGAACATCCTGCTTGTACTTCCTGTTCACCTCACAAAATATGACAAAAGCCACCAGTATTCCGTACATATTTAGGATAAAACTGATTCAATGATCACACCACTGGTCTTCGTCTACTATACAACATCAACATATGAATAGTCAACTGCAAGCTATACTAAATTTAAGAGTAACTACTTTTCTTTCATTCTTATCCACCTGCTTTTTCAATTACAATAACATTTGGGCAAAAACAAAAGTGATAAATTAATGAATCCTTGAAAAACACCAGAGTTTAACAATGTGATGTCAAAAGAAAATACAAGAGAAATATTTACTTGGTACATCAGTTTTATTGCAGATGCATTTGAATAATTATATTGGCAGCCAGAGAGTATTCAAATACGAAAGGTGGGTGGCAATAAAGCACAGCAATACAAAGACATGATCTGCATATTATAAAAGCACACATAGTGAGCACAGTCAGTAGGACGTCTCTGACCCAAGCGCAGTTAGGGAACCTGAACTTCCGATCTTCTTAAACCTATTGGCTGCAGCAACAGCTATGTAGTTTTTCTGCACAAAGCAGACAGGTGAAAGAGGATAAAGGAGAAATGAAGTGAGTAAGAAAGCATTTAGTATCTTGTGTTAAGAAAGTGGCAAATCATTGTGTCCTCAGTGTTTCACCTTCCACATTCGTCTGGCCATATACTTCTTGAGAAGAGTCTGAGACTTGAGCACAATGTTGGTGCTCTTGGCTTTCTCAGTGATGTTGTTAAGCCATGGGTGTTTGAGACCGTTGCCTTCTCTAGTGCAGCTCAACCAGGTCTCGTCCCATTCGTATGTATTTGTGATATCACAAATCCCAGAAAACGTGCGTTGTAGTCCAAACGAGTCGTTCGTTGTAGTTTTTGAAAAGTGATTTCTGTTAAATAAAATATCTCCTTTTGAATTGGACTTTGAGCTTTGTAACTTTGCGAGAGAAATCTTTTGAAAACTTGGAATAAACACCACAAGTTGTATGAAGTACTTTTATTGTGTTTTTATAGTGTTTTGCATCTTTTTTTGGAGCTTGACTGCCAATAGTCGTGCTAAGCTTTCATTGTATAGAAATGTGCAGCTCAGACATTCTGTTAAGCATCTTCTTTTGCGTTACACAGAACATTCTTAAAGGAGTCCATTTATGCTCTTTTACAAGGTCTTGATTTTGTTTGGGGGGTGTACTAGAACAGGCTCTCATACTAGGTTGTT